CTTTGCCTGAGGACTCTCTTTACCTATAGGAGTGTGTGTGGCTTTCTGAGCAGAACAGGCCAGAAGTGGCACAGAATCCATGTCCCCAGGAGGGGACATCTGCCTACAATACTCTTTCTCCACATAAGGGGCCTTCGCTCATCACTCTGTGAGGAAACAGGAAGCCCCGCCATCTTCCCGCACCTTGAGGACAGATGTATGTGGATCCCTGCCTCAGCTTCCTCACTGCTAGGTGGGCCAGCTCTGAGGCGTGTCCTACGCAGTATCTCTGAGGCCGTCCAGTGGGATGGAGCCCAGTTGCTACTGGGAGAGCTCCTCCATCAAAGTACACTTTATTGGCTTTCCCCACCGCCCTGTTCCCTCACTATACTTCTTGGGATCACCTTTTCATAAACTAATTGCCCCAAAGTCCTTGCCTCAGGATCTGATTTTGAAGAAAGCCAAAGTTAAACAGGCTCTTTGGTACTTGTTTTCAATGAATCTGGATTGCTTTCATCAAGCCCACCATCTACCCGTGCACCCCATCATCCTATCCATTAATGAGCAATTGGTGTACTGGTTTTATTGGGCTGATGTCACCTGTCCCCAGAGCCCGTCTGAGGCCTGTTCACTCAGAGGACAGCACTGAGCGTGCTCAGGAGCAGGGGCACCTCCAGGAAGACCAGGAGCCAGAAGTAGATCCTGCTGAGCAGGGATCTGTGGGGGCCACGGTGACAGGCAGTGAGCCACATCCTCAGGGAGACGCCCTGGTTCCCTCCACAATCCTCCTGTCCTTGTGCCCATGTCCTGAGGCTACAACAGTCCACACAGAGATCAGTCCCAGGAGGGTCCAAGGGCGGGGCAGCCCCACACAACAGACCACACCTGTGACCCTCAGGCTAACAATTGCCCTTGAGACAGGACTATGGACACGAAGAGGGCCTGGCTATTGGAGTGACAGGAGGGAGACCCCAGGGAGCAACCAGGACCTGGGCCAGGGAAAGGGTTCTACCTAAGCCCGTCCCATTGGGGGTTACCCTGAGGACCAGAAATCGTTGCTGGGTTATTTGTCTGATGTCTGCTCCCCACGAACAGTGTTTCCCACGAGGGATCAGAAATGTGTGCTTTAGTCCCAGGGAGGATCTGGCACCTGGGCGGTGCCTCCAAAAACCTTGACCTGAAATTCAGTGGTTCATGATGGAGGGAATGAATGACCGTAATCACCTCTCCTCTCCCTTAGAGGCCTGGTCTTCAATGGGATGACTCTCTGGCGAGGGCCTTGGGGGGGAAGGGGGAGCAGAAAAAAGAGCCCAGGGGCCCCCAGAGCACCTGGCTGACCTGGGCCGGGGCCTGAGGGCCCCCGTTGCAAAACACTTGCACTTGCTCTTCCCTGTCTCTGGAGCCTGATTTCTGTAGATACCTGAGTGATGATTCCCCAAATCCTACAGGTCTCCAGGAAATGTCCCCTCACCGGCCGGGTCTCCCTGATCATTGAGTATTAAATAGCAATCCCACCACCCCGAAACTCTCCCACACATGCTCCCCAACCCATGTGTCCTATTGCCTTCAAGCATTCATCACGAACCGGCATTACTTCTATTGATGAATGTGTTGACTTCTTCACTGTGTGAATTTGCCAACTATCGTCAGAGCAGGATTGTGTCTAGGTGGCCGAGGACTGTACCCCGAGAAGAGCAGCTGGCACTTGGTAGGACTTCCACAATTTGGTGTGGAGTTGGTAAATAAGTGAGGGACCTAGGCCAAGACAGTCACGCCCACATTCCTCAGCCCTCTGTGTTGCCTAGAAATGACCCAGGTGTCAAAGGTCTCCAGCTGCTAGCCACTTACCCAGGATATTGACTGAGATTGGGGGACTCCTTCGGGGTCATGGTGCTCCACGTGGGGGCTGGCAGGATCCTGTGAAGACCTGGGGTGCTGGTGGGCCTCACGGAGCTGGGGCCTGCTGAGAGGATTGAGGGAAAAGCCTGTGTCAGGCCTGCTTTCCACCCCGCCCCGAGGCTCTCCCACTCTCTGTCAGCTGTCCGGCTCCGACTACCTAGTCCTGGTCACTCAGGCCATCTGGATAGATGTCCTGGCTCCACATCCCCCCACAGCACACCCAGTCTGACTGGCACTCAGGCCCTCCCCTGGCCCTTTCTCCAGGTGCACCCTGGCCAGGTGGGCGATTTCAGAGGCAGAGTCATCCTGCTCACCGGGGCACGTGAGAGTGTGTGGAAAGAACAAGGGCTCCGGGCACAGCCACCCCGCAACTTGTTTACCCTGGCAGAGGATGGGGTGAGCTTTACTCTGTAGAGATTGATCCAGAGCTGGGGGTGGGGCAGGCAGGGTCCTTAGGCAGGGCTGATGTCTGGAGTGAGGCTCATGCAACAGGGCACTCAGCGGAGTCTACACGGAATGGTGGGACCCTGGCACTCAATGCACTCGGGCCCCAAACTGTCAGCCAGACCCGTGAACCTGGGGTTCACAGGACCGAAGGTTAGACAGAAACAAAGATCTAGAGAGACAGACACACATCCGGGGGACCCCATAGAATGTGGCCTGTCCTGAAGCCAACTGGACAACTGGTTTTCCCTCACACCGCTGCTGGTGTCCAAGGATGCTCCGCCCCTCACTGTTATATAGGATCCCACAAAGGGCCTGGGAGGGAAACGTCCCGTGTGAGCGAGGCGAAGACCTATACGAAGGGCCTCGGAGGAACCAGGGACAACATCAGAATAAGAACACAGGATAAAAATCTACCCACTTAGATGGATGACCTCCATGTGGTTTTTAGGAAACAAATACAGGGTTCTAGTAAACAAGAATTGTTAATAGCACAAGGAAGTATATTTGGGGCCATAAGACCTGAGAACTCATTTTTCTCATCCTTCTTCTCCTTTGTCTGAGGGGAGATTTCAGGGGTTTCTCTGAGCTCCCTCCTGTGGGGACAAGGGGCCAGAGGGAGTTGGGGAGGGTCAAGCCGTGGGGGCAGGGCAGTCTCCAAATGCTCACAGAAGCCCCACATCAGGGTCTGGGGCTCCTTCCTGGGGCCCAGTTCAGGCTGCTGCAGACCCCCAGGATCACAGCGTTGAGGCTGGTGCCTCAGGAACCATCCATGCCACACTGACGTCCTGTTAGAGCCCGGGTCACGGGCAGCCAGTAACGGAGAAGAGCGAATGCCCTAGGAGTTCCGTTCCCCGTTGGGAGGACAGAGAGCGGTCCAGGAAGAGATTTGGGTCCCCTTCAGCGTGGACAGGACCCTTGTCAGGACAGGAAGGCAGCTGACCCCAGACTCAGGCCCATCCCCACTGCCCACACTGGGAGAGCTTTAAGCGGGGAGTGTGTCAGGGTGGGGCACATGGAAGCGCCTACGTCAGCCAGAGGTGTGCATGGGCTTGTGTGAGTGTGCAGACAACACAATGCTCACACACACAAATACACACACACATAGGCACACAGACATATGCACAGACACAACATCTACGCACACACACACACACAAACACACACACACGGACACACACATGCACATCCCCGGTGTCACCCACCCCATCTTCACTCCACTCTTCTAACCCACGACCCACTGCTTTCATGCCGGGTTCAGGGTGATCAGCCCCAGTCTCAGGCAGCCCTGGCTCTGGCGCTGGGGGAGAGGGTTTCACAGCTTACCTGGGGTCACAGACACCACAACGAGGAAGGTGGGGTCGAGCAAATATACTGGGAACCATGATATATCGATTCCACACCGGTATGTTCCTGCATCATCCTCTGTGAGGTTCTCCAAGGTCACTGTGAAGGTGAGGTTGGCGGGATGGTCCCTGATGGACACACGGCCATTACTCTCTTTTCTGTCTGCCCCTTTGGTCTTTACAGTACTCCACACACATGGGCTTTTGCACCAGTATTTGGCCATCTCTCTGAATTTCTCCTCGTACTGACACTGCACGCTCAGGGATCCGCTCACGATGCCCATCACGGAGGTGGGGCCACTCAGACACCAACAGCCTGGAAAACACAACGGAGTGTGGTCCCTCACCAGATGAGCCTGGGACAAGGGGATGTGGGGTCATGGTGGCCCTGGATTCCCCAGAAGGATCTCAGGGACTGGAAGAGGTCTTGGCAGGAGACAGACATTTCCTGAGACTAGAGGGGGAGGAGGTAGTTCCTTACCCACAAAGTGGCACAAGGAGAGGGTGTTCAATGTGTGTGTGTGTGTGTGTGTGTGTGTGTGTCATGCACCAAGATCTCCTTTCTGACTGTGACCCTACAGTAATGGTGGTCACAGGCGCCCCTCTCCTCAGAGTTGCTCTGTCCACTATAGTGGATTGAACTCACCCGCTTCATGCTCTAAATGCTCCTGGTCAACGCTGGGGCAGTGCTGGCTGATCCTAGAATGTTCTCTGCTCTCCCTCCTCCCTCCCAGGTCCTGCTTCCCTCCCCATGGGCTGCCCCCCCCAAACCCCGACCACAAGAAGTGACATGTCACTTGTCCATTGTCAGCACTCTACCCTGAGAGTCACAGTAAAGTGGACTTTCCAAAGAAGAAAGACTCCTGTGTCCCTCCCCTGTCTCCCTCCTTCCCACTCAGGGCACACTTCCCTGCCCAAACTCAGCCCCGCTCACCTGGGACCTGCAGAAGGAGCAGGGCTACAGGCAGCCAAGGCCTCCCATCCCTCAGGGTCATGTCACAACAGAGACGTCACCCACAGCAATGCCAGGCTACTGAGGAAGGACTATTTCAAGCCTCCTCCCAGAGGGTCCAGTCTCCACGACCCACTTTTGCTTTTAGAGGCCTCTTTCCTTCTTCGTCAACCTGTGTTGGTCTCACAATCTTCTTCCACATTGACTCAAGCTGGTCGAGGTGCCAGAAGCTCGGGGAGGGAAGTACCACAGGTTGAGGCAGAGTCCTGGGCCTGGTTCCCCGGGCTCCTCTCAATCCTGATGACAGGACAGCCCCTTGCAAGGACTGGATTGGGATTGCCATCCCCTTAAGCAGCCAACATCTGCTCCTCTCTCTGTCCACACTCGCCCCACACAATGGAGCCGCACTGGAGCATTTCCTACTTAGTAGAGCTTCCTCACCCCCTTGACATGTCACTTCCTTGTGGTCAGGATGAACCATGTCCGGGGTGGAGCCCCAGTAGCCCATCTTCTCAGGCATCGGTGGTGCCTGCAGGGGTGTTAGGACCCCCCAGGCTGCAGCTCCAAGCACCCACAGTCCCCATGGGACCCCTGCTCTCCTCTGGCCACACAAGTGGCACTGTGACCTCAGATACCTTCAAAGGTCGCATTAGGGTTCTGGGTTCCTAACCAGGGTACAAATCCCCCAGGCTGTGCTTCCCTCCTGTGTGTTTCTCTGTTCTCAAGACATGGACATGGAGCAGCCGTCACCAACCCCGTGAGCACCTCACATTTGACTCTTTCTTCTTTGGAAAGTCCACTCTACTGTGACTCGCAGGGCAGAGTACTGGCAATGGACAAGAAGGTCCAGAGATTGAAGGAGCTGATGGGACGATGGGGACATGTGAAGCTGAGACTGGGCTTCTCCTCTCCATCCAGCGACACGAGAGACGTTT